TGGTCTGGCCAGTCTAATCGTCATTTTTGGCAGAAACGATATAAATATCGTTATATACAAACTGAAACGAGATATATGTTATTTTAGTTATAATTTGTCCTAACACGATATCAATATCGTCGAATTTGTAATAAGACGATAATTGTATTGTTATGTACTAAACTCACTAAATAACATAACGACATACATGTCGTTTCAGTACAAATGTAGCGAGATCGAACTTGTTTCGGTTGAAACCTACGCGAAAACGACATCTATGTCGTTTCAGTTCACAAAGAACGACATAGATGTCGTTATGCGTAAAATTGATGATTCAACCATCATTGGCCACCCGACATGCCTTCAACGTACGTAGGACGATCGAAAAATGACATCGAGTGGGTTGATACCACTTGAATGGCTTAGAAAAAGCGAACGAATATACTTTATTTCTTTCTTTCGGTGGGAATAGTTCGAATGTTGGATACAATTATGGCAACACAAACAATCTTATAGTTTCTTTTGATTGAGATCGAACCCACTTGATGAACTATTTCGATCGTCCTATATTTGTCGAATGCATGTCGGGGGGTCGTGGCCGGTATAATCNATCATGGCAACACAAATGTTCTTATAGTTTTGTTTTTAGTGAGATCGAACCCACTTGATGAACTATTCTGATTGTCCTATATATGTCGGGGGGTTGTGGCCGATCGAATCATCATTTTTGGCAGAAACTATATAAATATCGTTATATACAAACTGAAACGAGATATATGTCGTTTTAGTTATAATTTATCCTGAAATGATATCAATATAGTCGAATCTGTAATAAAACGATAATGATATTGTTATATACCAAACCCACTAAATAACATAACGACATAAATGTCGTTTCAGTACAAATTTAGCGAGGTCGAACTCGTTTCGATTGAAACCTACGCTAAACGACATCTATGTCGTTTCAGTTCACATAGAACGACATGTATGTCGTTATGTGTAAAATCGACGGTCGAATCGTTGTTTTAGCCAATACGATATAATTTTCGTTTTCTATGAAAAGAAATGATATTTATGTCGTTGCAGTTATGATTTGAATTAGAACAATTTCGAACTCGTCAAATTTGTACTAAAATGATATGAAAGTTGTTATATTATTTTGTGAATTTGACACATAACGATGTCATTATCGTTTCAATACAATTTTGGCGACATTGATATCGTTTCAATTTTAATCTGAATTAAAATGACATATATATCGCTTTAGGGTATATAAAACGACAATTATATTTTTTAAGGTATATAAAAAGTATATTTTGCACGCCGTAAAAAGTTTACGTTGAGATGAAGGGGGAAAAAATAAAAAATTTAATGGTTGGACCGGTGGATGATTACTTAAAAATATAAAAACAATTATTTGAAATAAAATTAAAGATTTTAAGTTAATTGTCACTAATTATTTATATATTTCGAAATCATAAATTATGTAGACATTCAATTCATCTTTATTAAAATTAATCTTTCAATACATAATACGTATATAAAATAAAGTGAAATATTTGACTATAATATTTCAAGATATTCAGAACTATATGATTATATATATGTTATTGCATCAAAATAAACAATATTGTTCAATGTCTTAGTGGTGAGGGAACCATTATTTTTCTAAGAGGTTGAAGGTTCAAATACTTGAATATTGAAAATTTGATTATAATTTTTCAAAATATATATAGGTTATTGTATCAAAATAAACAATATTGTTCAATATCCTAGTGGTGAGGAAATCATTCAAATAAACTTTCTCTTAAAGGTTGAAGGTTCGAATCATTGGACTTTGTAATTTTGAATATAATTTGTCAAGATATATATATGTTATTGTAATAAAATAAATAATATTGTTCAATGTCCTAGTGGTGTGGAGAACATCTTTTTTCCATAAAGGTTAAATGTTCAAATTCTTGAACCTTCAAAACATTCTTCATTTATTTGGTTATAAAATGGTGGGTAAAGTAGAAATTTGAGATTTTTAAATAATTAATTCTTTTTCCATTTCGGTGGAAGACCATTTAAACAAAAACTAGTAGGTGCCATTCCATCTCATTCCCCTATTATCAATAAGAATACCACAAAGATCGAGTCCTAACAAAGTAGAGGGAAAAATCGCCATGCTTCAAGCTTCATCCTTCCCAGGATGCATTCGAGGCTAAGTTTTTTATTGGCACGCGCTGCTAGAAATTCCTATTCTTCAATTTATTCTGCTCGTTCACCACCATTGTCACCAAACCCAAGGTTAAGAAGAGTATTTTCAGCATACAACAATAAATGCAATGCCGGTGACTTTTTTGGGTTGTCTCACTCTCGTCTCTCTAGAAATTTAATTGGTTTTGTCAAAATTCGGCGTGAGTTTAGTGGCTACGCCATCGAGCAGTTCTCTGATGATGAGTATGAGTGTGATTACGAAAATCACCCGGTAATTTCTGAGTTTGTTTTTTCTTTTTCGTTTTTGTCTCTAAGTTTGCGTATTTGTTTTAACTGGATTCAATTGAATTATTTATTCAGTTGATAAATGTTTGAGGACTGAAGGTAAGTCCCAGTCATGTCTATAATATAATAATTTGATGAAGAGTGTGTGGAGCGGGGTGACGGACGAGGGTTTTAAAATTACAGAGCCTTTTCCTTACGAACCAAAGGTTTAATCTTTCTCTGTATTTAGTGAATATTTCTCCGTGTAATCGAAAGTTTTGTTGAAGGAAATTTCAGGAGCTATTGGATAAAGTTAAGTGAAGAAAATAATACTTTTTTTTATGAATGAAACAAAATGCTAAACTTGGTTATGCTAGTGTATTAATAGATTTTTCATTTTCTAGTTTCAATGTCTGAATTTCCCTACAGGGAGAAAGGATGGCGATGCTTTAATTCCTAATACGCTAGTAATTGCAGTTGCTATGACTTTGAACTTTAGTCGATGGAATTCTTAAGAAACATTTGTTGGGTTTCCTTGAAACACGTACCACAGGCTTAAAGGTTGAGAAGTAGCTGCATGTGATCATCAAAATGGGAAGATATAGAAGTCAATCAGTTTCTCTTGTATACTTATCCTGTTATTAAATAATCTGGTATCTTAGCAATGGACAGAAATATATTTACACTAGTGCACTTTCTTACGAATTCATGTTTTTATGAAACATTTAAAATGCGGACATCAATTAGAAGCATAAGAATGCGTGACTATGAAATGTGTGTAATGTAGGCATCATCGTCAGTGGCCAACATTGATGAGTGGAAATGGAAACTCAGTATGCTTTTACGTAGTGAAAACGATCAAGAAATTGTCTCCAGAGATAAAAGGGACAGGAGAGACTTTGAGCAAATATCCAACCTTGCAAAACGGATGGGCCTTTACTGGTAGAAAACTGCACATGTCATTCTTCCCTTTGTGTTTTTGTATTGGAGGATTTTCTTGACTTATCATGAATTTTACTATCAGTGATGTGTATGGGAAAGTGGTAGTTGCAAGCAAGTTACCTCTTCCCAACTACAGGCCAGATCTCGATGATAAGCGGCCTCAAAGAGAGGTAAAATGTTTATTCTGTTTGATCCTCTGATGACTTCCATCGAGTGTTTATGTATAGGAATTCTGTTAATTTATTGGAGAAATGAAATGCTTCAGCTCTTTCCTGCAGGTTGTTATCCCATTAAGTTTGCAAAGGAGGGTTGAGGGTTTGCTACAGGAACATCTTGATAGAATTGTGCTGAATTCTGAAAACGTGGATGACTCTTCTGCCATGACAGAGGCTGTGGATCAGGTTGAACATGTAAATACTGATGAAAATGGAGATTCATTCCTAGATGGGTCCGTCATGGAGAAGGTTCTCCAGAGACGGAGCTTGCGCCTGCGTAATATGCAGAGAACTTGGCAGGTATCTTGCACAAGATTTTAGTGTTTGGATTTGTGCTTGTTCTGTCTCTCTGTTGCATTTATCTTAGCCTCTTTTTGGGAAGAATTTATAAACGTTTTAATTTATAAATAGATAGAAATGAGTAGTGGATAAATGGATAGTGCTTGTGACAAAGTTTTGAATGAATGATTTTCCGATTTTCCCTTCAGGGATTCCTTAAATTATATAGGAAAAATATTGCCTTATAATCCATCTAAATATAATAATTGACTAATTGTAATCAACCTAAATATACAATTATATATAGTCGTGTTAAATCACAATCTTCGTTAATCTCCACAATCTTTTTCGATCTCATTGGCATCCCCCTCAAATTGATGCTGGATGATCAAGAAGCATCAGTTTGTCAATTGATGTACAAAATAACTAAAAAGGCCCAACTCCAATGGTCCTTCAAAGACACCAACGGGACCCTTAAACAGATTGCTTAAAAGATTTATATTCTTGAGTGAACTCAAACTCCAAAAATCAGAAAATAGATCAATAATTTTGTTCTTGCTTAGATCCAAAAACCTAAGAATTTTTTTTTCAATTTTATTATCAAGAATTACACCCATATAAATCCAAATCAGAAGCTCTCAGATTGGCATCACAAAACACCCCCTTCCATGAAAAAAAACCTAGAAATATCATCATACCCTTTGGTGGGCCCATAACCAGGATAGCAGAAAAAATCAAAAGGCTCAACTCCAAGCAAAAACTAGTCAGTTCCACAAAACCAACTTTCTTCCACTTGTTGTATCTGCGACTTCAGAAAACCAGCTTTCAGAACCTGCTCCCTTCTAGAATGCTCAATTCATGATCCTGTACATGAAAACTAAGATAAAATCCGTTTCTTGCCCAGTTGGTAAAGCTTTGACATACTCCAAAATATAATTTTCGGCAAAGAATCAAAGTGTGACAAAAAAAGACGATGCTAACAGATTGTCCCGAAAACACCGAATGCTCCCACCACACTCGATGCACGAAAGAGCGATAACCATCGACTACCACAAGAGTCACACATTAACAAAAATTATGTCAATCGTGGACGACTACAAGAGTCATATGTTGACAAAAATTCTGTCAACTGTGGACTACCACAAGAAACTCACACCTAAAAGACTGAGTTATGACCAAAGAAAATCGAGAATTCTATATAAAGTCTTCTAGGCTTTGATACAATGACAAATTTTTGACTGAATGATATTTCTTTGAGGGATTCCATACATTATTACCTTATACAACTATGGTATCCATCTAAATATTTTAATTGACTAATTGTAATCAACCTAAATATACAATTATATATAGTTATGTTAAATCACAATCTTCTTTAATCTTCGTTAATTCCATGATCTCTGTCAATATCATTGGCCACTTGTGGGTCCATTGGAATGTAATTGAAAATGAAGTTTGGCAATTTATAATTGATTTATAAATTTTGCCAAACGGAGGCTTATATTTATTTTAAGCTCCCGTTTGAGTTCGGCGAAGTATGGTGTGATGGAGGGGGGATGGTGTTCGGGTGAGGGGCGCGGGTCTCACGGGTGAGTCTATGGAGGTATATTCGACGAGGAGGGAATGACTTTCGAAATAGCTTGACTTTTGTAGTGAGGAATGGTAATAATATTAGATTTTGGGATGATTGTTGGTGTGGAGATACACCGCTGAAGTTGGGGTTCCCTTCCTTGCATCGCATCACTATGATGCCTTCTGCTATGGTGAATGACGTTTTGGCCATGCACAATGAGTCACAGTTGGAATATCACTTTTCACAGGGGTCTGCAGGATTAGGAATTGGATGACTATGCATTGTTTCTAACAGATTTGTATGAGGTGCAAATTCGGGTAGGAGAGGAGGATTGTAGCCGATGGAGGCTGGCACAGAATGGTAT